AGAAATTCACCTCTACAGGATGTGGTGTGAGACAACCTCAATTCAAATAAAGCAATATCCTCCTAGAGAAAACACTACATCCAAGCAGACTCTCCTGAGGCACCATAAGAAATGCAGAGCATTAGCCTGAGCCCTAGTGGATTTGACAGCTAAGATTCATGGACTCAAGGGAACATCTGATTCCAGTTCCCTGCTGGAGATCTCTCTGGCTTTGTATTACAGCTGAAGCACGAGAACACGGATCCCTAGATTTGGGGCTGCACGGTCCGCAGCCACGGAAGAGAAGAAAACACATGAGACTAGAAGAGAGGAGAGGACGACAGTGACATCACTCATGGCAGCAGAAAGGACACTGGGGCAGAGTGCCCTGAGGCTCATTTTTCTCCAGGGCTTGGAGTTCTGGGTCCTGAGTGGACACGTCAACAATCAGAGTCTCAAAAGTTTGATTCACAGTAGAAAGGAAAATTCCTCCTGGAAAAACATTTTGCTTTACTGCTTTACTGTTTTATTTCAGTAAAGGGCAAGAGAGTAAATATTGTAGGCTTCACGGGCCAATTGGCACAATGGAAGCAGTTCTGTAGGCACTTAGATCACAAAAGAGAAAACTCCTGGCCTGCCCCTCCCTGCTGACTTGCCCTGGGCCTGCCAGAGCCCTGAGTCTGCTTCTCTGCTTTGTTGCTGGGTTGCCACCTGCTAGAGACATTCTCAGGACAAGAGTGACTGGCCCAAGAGGGAAAGGCCCGGCAGGTCAGCACGCAGAGGGACTGGGAATGGGGAGCTGCTGTAGTCAGTTTCACTCTCTGTCCCGGTGACACTCAGATACCGGTGTGTGTGTTCTCATCTCCTGCCAGCTCCAAATGGGTAGCTGGCTCAAGGCTAAGTGGGCTTGCTAAGTCACCAGCTCCCAAGCAAAGATTCCATTGCTTGGTGTCTAGCCATTCCCAACAGCAGAGTGTCCAACATGTAGAGAGCAAGAAGCATGGGCCTTGGGCAATAGCAAGATACAGCTGGCCCAGTAGACAGACACTGAGAGTGGAGGAGAATGTGGGGGTGGAGGAGGTAGGGTCTCCAACTTGGTCTCCATGGCTCACAATGCTAGCCCCTTCCAGCGGTGCCCCCCTGCCATACAAATACACCGGCCAGTCCTGTGTGTGCATCCCAGCTTTTGTGAACAATAAACTAGATTTTGCTTTGTGGATACGATGGCTTTAAAATTGTACCCACAAGTTCCTTTATATTCTTTCCTTTAAGAGTGTAGAACTTAATTCCTTCCCCCTTGAGCATGGGTTGAATTCAATGACTCACTTCTAATGAATAAAGTGTGGTCAAAGTGATGGTGTGCAGCTTCCAAGACCAAGTCCCACCAGGCACTCCTCTCTCTTTCAGGCCAGCCACTGTGTCATGAGGATGTTCAAGCAGCCCTGTGCAAGAAGCTTCTTACGGAGAGGAACAGAGTCCTCCTGCCAGCAGCCACGTGAGTGGAAGCTGTCTAAAAGCAGATCTTCCAGCCCCGGTTGAGCCTTCAGATGGTAACAGCCCCAAAAGTCATCTCAGCAGACCCTGAGGCAGGACCACTCAGCTAAGCTATTCCCAACCCTCAGACACTGTGACAAAATATGTTTGTTGTATTAAGCTATAAGGGTCAGGGGTGATTTGTTATGTAGCAATAAATCATTAACACAGTGGACAGTAAAATAAGACTCAGTCTCAATGTGTAGCAACATCTGGTGTCTACATCTAGCCACCTCCTTGACATGCCCACTTGGACGTCTCACGCATATCTCAGAGAAACACAACTCCTTCCAGAGTTCCTCCCTTAGAATTTAATCATTCCTGGCTGCCTCAATTCTTCACCTTGACTCTGTCCTTACCTGGAGGTCACTCCTTTATGCCTTCCACTTCTTTACCCTGTCCACCATGGGAGCGAGACCATGTACACAAACACGCTCGCCTGTTTGCAAGCCCAAGGTATCACCCAAGTCTTAGAGGGCACGCATTTCTCACCACCAGTTAGTGCCCCAGCTGGCCTCAGGCGTGCAAAAGCCTCACAGCTGGTGTCCGGACTTCCCACTCACCCTCGTCCAATCCATTTGTCGCACAACAGTGAGAGTCATTTTCTGCCGAGAATGAGATCCTGCCACTTCGTGGATCAAGCGCTCCAAAGACTTCCCTCCCAGGTGAGGGGGAGATCCCAGGGCCCGGGTCAGACTCTGGCATGACCCGCCCTTGAGCACTCTCCTCCTCAGTGCCTCACCCACCCCACACTTTTTCGTACCTCGGACTCTGGTCACACTATGCCCTCTGCCTAGACCCTCTTTCCCCATCTGCCTAGCGTCCCTGCACCCCATGTACCCAGACTTAGCTTCAGTCTTCTCTCCTCAGCATAGACTTCACGGCCTCTTCACCTAAGGTAGATCCCCCCGTTATTTTATCTCTCAGATTATTTATCTCTCAGACTGTTGCTAATTCACTTCACAGCACATAATAGGAGTTGAACTATTTGCTCATTGGTTTAATTATACTTTGACCGTGGACTGTGAAGAGAAGGGCCACAGTTCACCGACAGCAGCAGCCACCTGAGAAGCCCCAGATGTGGGATGGGAGTCAGCCACTGACCCTGAGCGGTCACCAGGGGACAGATGGTGACAGACGGTAGCCCTGGAGGGAATGTAGACAGGCTCCTGCTTCTGGACCTCAACAGAGAAACCCTGTGTGGGGGGTCAGTTTACTTGGTGTGCATCTCTGTTCTTTGATTCCTGGGAACCCAAATAACTGAAATTATGGGCACTCATCAAATGGGGAAGGATGAATGTCCCTGCCCCTGAGCTCTCCATCTGGAGAGAACAGATGCTCACAGAGATACATTTCAGTACTGTGTGTGGATTTGATAATGGAGGCGGAACAGGCTGTGGGGTCAGAAGAGGAGGGATGCCCTCAAGTGCAAGTGGAGAGGAGGGTTCTGGGCAGTCCCACAGGGACCCTGGGGAAAGGGAAAGGGACTGTCCATGCAGAATTTGCTTTAATACTTGTTCACACTCCCTCCACAACCCAGATACATTGGAATCCCTTTTATGGAGCCATCCACTGTCCGAGCCAGAGGGCATGACTGGAAAAACATGTCCCCTGGCACCAGAGCACTCGTCCCCACTCAGAAGACGAATGCCAGGGTTCCAGGCGGGAGGGGCACTTTCTGGTCACCTCATCCTCCCCCTTCTGGTCAAATGGCAGACTGGGCAGAGGTGGGTGGGAGGCTGTGTGCAGGGCTCACATCTCTGACAGTCTAAGGTACAAAGGATCTGGGGAGAAGACCCAACAAACCCCACAATACAGGTGCCCAGCCATTCTGGGTGCCTCCTTGCCCAGGCTGGGAGAGGGAGAGGGATGGCAGCAAAGGGGTGGTGTCCAGGCAGAGGGCACAGTGTATGCACAGTCTGAGGGACAGAGCTGAGGTCGGAGCAGTTGGTCATCTGAACATCCATGGGGAGAGAGACCTAACCCTACAGTCCCCACCCGCTCATCAGAACCCCCAGGGCCTCTCTTTCCTCTGGGCAGACCAGCTCCAGGCTTTCCACAGCATTCTTCCCAGCATAGCCCCCATGTGAATAAGGCACCCATCATCAGCTTCGCTGGAACTAAGGGAGTGTCTATAACCATGGGGATTCCTGGTGACACCGGTGTACAGAGGAAACAATGACATGGCCAACAAGGGGCTTTCATGATGCACAAATCCCATTCGCCCCTCACATGAGGCCGCTGCCTGGACCCCAGAGCCAGAACACAGAGGTAGTTTTCTGATAGAAACAATAGGGTTATTAAAGACTAAATACTCAAGGGAGGTCAGTATGGTCAGTATAGTCACGATATTGCAGCCAAATTCTAAATTAAATTACATTTTCTGTGGCAAGGTCAAAGTTTCCCTGGGAATACCCATTGTTTTCATGGTAATTTGTTAAACTAGAAAATCCTGGCTGGGAGGCAGAGGCTGGGGAAGGGATTAGGAGGACCTTCTCAGAGTCAGCCTGCCCCCCCCCCACACCCCCTGGGTGGAGTCCCGCCTCCTCCACTTACAGCTGAGTGTCCCTGAGACGGTCACCTATCCTCTCTGTGCCCCCATGTACTCATCTGAACATGGGTGTGACAGCAGCACCCCGCTCAGAGGACTGGGGACAGGGTCACGTGTGATAATTTGTGTCAAGTGCTTAAGATAGTCCCTGGCTCCTAGTAAAGCATTTATTGAAAGAAAAGAAGAAAAGAAATGAAGACAGACATCGTCACCAAGTGAAATGGAAGATATGAGTACCTGAGGGTTCTTCTGCCCCGCACATGCTTAGCACAGGTTCTCTGCCAGATCGCACCAGCCCCTGAGTTACTGGAGAGGATTTGGAGGAAAACAGTCACAGGGGCTCGGCTGAGCTGCTTACAAAGCCAGATGATTCTCCCCTGGGTCTCTGAGCACTTTCCTACCCTCACTCTCTTCCTGGGGGGTGAGACAGTCCTGGAAGGAAAAGACTTCCCCTGCAGATGTCAATCATCCCTTCCTGGGCACCCAAGACACAAACAAAGTTGATTTATTTCCCAGAAACAACGCTTTGGACCAGAAAGCCTTGAGCCCAGCTTTGGGCACCAGGGCAGTGTACTGTGGGGGGGACGGGGGACCCACTAAACAGGAGCAGGAATCTTGGGGAACCCCCTGCCCCAGCATAGCCTTGCGGGGGGATCACCTGCCCTAACCACATTCTCTCCTTCTCCATTCAATTCTAGTTCTTGTCCTAAAATGCGGATAAATGCATGATCCTCCCCCAGTAGTGTCCCACTGGGGGTGTCTGCCCCTGTCCTACCATGGCACAGTGGGAAAGAGATAAACAAGGAGGAGCTGCCTCCCATCCTCCTAGAAGGTGCCACAAGCCCCCTCCCTCCCAGCACCCCCCAGTTTCCCCCAGTCTCAGGAGCCGAGGGTCACTTGCCCCTGCCACGTCCCAACCCCCACGACGACCACCTACCCGTGACTGCGAGGCAGCCCCAGCCCCTGACCGCTGCCTGCCCGGTGGAATCTGGGTTGCGGAGACTGGTGACACCCACGGCCGCCACACACTGGAGCCTCCTGGCCTGTGCGCTAACGGGCTATATTTGTCAGCTGATAATATGATCTGTAGGACATGTGCTGATAAACTATCTATCTATTCTATGTGACTCAGCCCGGCATGAGACAAAACACATTTCGGAGGGGAGGGCTTGGCACGGGGCAAACGACAAGCTGGCCAACATGAGCCCAACAACCTGGGATGACTGCACCTCCCTTTTCACGCAGGCTGTCCTGAAGCATGTGGAATAAAACAGGCCAGAGAGGGGAAAGGGCCCCGTGTTCTCTGCACTCCAAGCTAAGAACCACAGGAAAAGCAGCATCAGAATGCTGTATGACCCAGCAAATGCAAAGCTGTTTTCAATGTTTGAAGCTATGGCTATCACAGGTCTGGATTTCACCTTGTTTTTCTTTTCTTTTTTTTTTTTTTAAGATTTTATGTATTTATTTGAAAGAGGGAGAATGAGAGAGAGCGCTCATGAGAGAGAGAGAGAGAGAGAGAGAGAGCATGGGGGGGGAGGGGCAGAGGGAGATGCAGACTCCCCACTGAGCAGGGAGCCTGACACGACTCATGATCCCAGGACCCCAAGATCATGACCAGAGCCAAAGGTAGTTGTTTAACCAACTGAGCCACCCAGGTGCCCTCACCTTGCTTCTTTTAAAGTTCCTAAAACATATGTGAATTTAGGTTCTTTTTAGTGATTTTTTACTAATTAGGCAAAGATGCTTTGCTGTAGCCAACATTGTGACAATCTGACAATCACTTAATCAGGAATTGCTCCCACCTCACTACATCCCCCCATCCACACCCTCCACCCAACACCCACCCCTGCGTGTTCCAAGAGGATCCTTACAACCACCCCCACTTATGGGCAACAGACTCTTCATATGCCTTCATCCTAAACAGAAAAACACCCTTTGTCTGACATAGACATAATAACTCTAACTACAAAATAGTTGGATTTTGAAGGTACTATGTTCTATGTGTTGCCATTTGTAATTGTTACCATTTTATTAATGTAATCCTTATCAAAATACCAATAGCATTTTTCACAGAACTAGAACAAACAATCCTAAAATGTATATGGAACCACGAAAGACTGCAAATAGCCAAAGCAATTGTGAAAAAAGGAGAGCATTGCTGGAGGCATCGCACTCCCAGACCTCAAGTCATATTACAAAGCTGTAGTGATCAAAACAGTATGGTACTAGGAAAAAAAAAAAAAACAGTATGGTATTGGCACAAAACCAGACACGTAGATCAATGGAACAGAACAGAAAACCCAGCAATAAACCCACAATTATATGGTCAATCAATTTTCCACAAAGCAGTAAAGAATATGCAATGGGAAAAAGTCTCTTCAACAAATGGTACTGGGAGAACGGATCAGCTACATATGATCAAAGAATAAATGAGCAAAAGAATGAAACTGGATCCCTTTCTCACACCATACATAAAAATAAACTCAGAATGGATTAAAGACCTAAATGTGAGACCTGAAACCATAAAGATCCTAGAAGAGAACACAGGCAGTCATGTCTCTGACATAAGCCATAGCAATGTTTTTTTCTAGATAGGTCTCCTGAGGCTAGGGAAACAAAAGCAAAAATAAACTAGGGGAGCTTCATCAAAATGAAAAGCTTCTACACAGCGAAGGAGACGATCAAAGAACTAAAAGGCAACCTATAGAATGGGAGACGATATCTGCAAATGACATATCAGATAAAGGGTTAGTACCCAAAATATATAAAGAACTGATACAATTCAACACCCAAAAAAACAATCCAATTAAAAATGGGCAGAAGACAAGAACAGATATTTTTCCAAAGAAGACATCCAGATGGCCAACAGACACATGAAAAGATGTTCAACATCGCTCATCATCAGAGAAATGCAAATCAAAACTACAATGAGATCTCACACCTGTCAGAATGGCTAAAATAAAAAACACAAGAACATCCAGTGTTGGTGAGAATGTGGAGGAAAAGGAACCCTCGTGCACTGTTGGTGGGAATGCAAAGTTGGGTGGCCACGTGAAAAACAGTATGGAGTTTCCGCAAAAAAATTAAAACTAGAACTACCCTACAATCCCTACAATCCAGTAATTACACTACTGGGTATTTACAAAAAAAAAAAAAAAGACGAAACCACTAATTCAAAGGGATACATGCACCCCTACGTTCATAGCGGCATTATTTACAATAGCCAAGATACGGAACCAGCCCGAGCGTCCATTTTATTCAGCCATTAAAAAAAAAAAAAAAGAAAAAGAAAAGAAATCTTGCCATTTGCAATGACATGGAAGGAACAATAAAGTAAAATGCTAAGCGAAATAAGTCCATCAAATACCATATGATGTCACTCATATGTGGAATTTAAGAAACAAGACAAACAAGCAAAGGAAAAAAGAGAGGAAAAACAAACCAAGAAACAGACTCTTAGCTACAGAGAATAAACTGCTGGTTACCAGGGGGAGGTGGGTTGGGGACTGGGTGAAATACGGGATGGGGTTTACGGAGCGCACTTGTCGGGGTGAATCACTGTGTCATACACCTGAACCTAATAGAGCACCACAAGTTACCTATACTGGCATTAAATTTTTTTAAATAAGGTTTTTTATTTTTACAGGCAAAAATTTTTTTTTTGATAAATTATCATTTTAATTGTACACCAAGTTGATGGGAATCAAATAAATCTCTGGGACAGTATTAAGTCCTACCTCTAAAGTGTTGCATGTGCTTTTTATTACTTAGAATTTGAATAGTATTTTTTTCCTACATAATCTAAGTTTCCTATTAGTAATTGTTTTCGTTTGGTCTTTGTTTTGTTTATGGTGCTCTGAACCAAAGAATATAAATTAAAAAGGTAGTTTCAGGTCAGACACGACTTAAATACATTTTCAATTTATGAGAGGGCTAACTATTCAAAAGCTCAATCATATTTAAGTGGAAAAATATTTTCCCCCACCAATACATTCAAATACAATGGGCATCCTGTATGAGGCCAGGGTTAGAGAAGGAGGTCATTGTTCAGCCCAGGCTCCTCAGTCTGCAATGAGCTCCCAAATAAATTTGAGAAACTTAGCAAATAAAAATACTTTCAGTTACATCTAAATTTCAGATAAACCGCAAGTGATTTTTCAATATAAGTATGTTCCCAATAATGCATGAGTCATACCTAAAAATTATTTGTGGTTTATCTGGAATTTCAATATTCCTGGGAGTCCTGTGTTTTATCTGGCAACCCCCAGGATCTTAGTAAGTGCAGAATCTGACCCAGGAGGCCAGGGAGGGGCCCAGAGTCTGTCTCCCTAACAAGCTCCAGGTGATGCCAAAGCTGCTGGCCCAGGAAACCCAGCACAAGGGGCCTTAAGGACCTGGAATTAGCAGAGTCTGGGGCAGTGGTACCCAGCACTGGCTTCTCATGGGCATGGCCCCAGTGGAGCCCTCTCCCCCTAGGATGTTCTGACTCAATCAGTCTGGGGTGAAGTCCAGTGATCCTAGTTCAGCATACTCCACAGTCTCTTTCGATTCACAGGCGGGGATGTGAATCAGGAAGTATTTTAAAATACACAATGTACTTATGTTAATACAAGGAATTGTTATTATTGTATTAAACTTACTGTGTGCAGATGCTGCATCTCTTGGCCGTGTCCAGAAAGAACTTCTAGGGGCGCCTGGCTGGCTCCGTCTGCAGAACATGTGACTCTTGATCTCGGTGTTGTAAGCTCAAGCCCCTCCTTGGGTGTAGAGATTATTTACTAAAATCTGAAGAAGAGGGGCGCCTGGGTGGCTCAGCGGGTTAAGGCCTCTGCCTTTGGCTTAGGTCGTGATCCTAGGGTCCTGGGATCGAGCCCCGCATCGGACTCTGTGCTCAGCGGGGAGCCTGCTTATGCCTCTCTATCTCTGCCTGCCTCTCTGCATATTTGTGATCTCTGTCTGTCAAATAAATAAAATCTTTAAAAAAAATAAAATAAATTCTGAAGAAGGAGAAGGAGGAGACGGAGAAGGAGAAGAGGAAGAAGGAGGAGAAGGAGAAGGTGGAAGAGGAGAGAGAGGAAGAGGAAGGAAGGAATGTAGGTAGGTAGGCGTGTGCCCGAGTGTCTCAGTTAAGCCTCTGCCTTCAGCTTGGGTCACGATCCAGGGTCCTGGGATCGAGTTCTACGTTGGGCTCCCTGCTCAGCAGGGACCTACTTCTCCCCTCCCCCCATTCATGCTCTCTCTGTCTCTCTCAAATAAGTAAATAAAATCTTTAAAAAGAAAAGAAAAGAAAAAAGAGAACGAAGTTGTAGTTTCTGCCTTCCCAAGGGGCAGCAGGTAGGACTGTGGTCTTCGCCCCCCCAGGGTCCCCTTACCTCCCCAGCTCTTACACAGTCTTTTATCACGCTGCTTCCTCAGAACTGGGCGCTTTTTCACTCACGTCCCCTCTGGCGGGCCTTGAAGCCTCTCAACAGCTTTGTCCACAGCTTTGGCCTCTCCGGGGAGGGCCCCCAGGTTTGCCTCCAATCTGAGGGGGCCCCACACACAAACAGGCCCAGACAGCCGCAGGCCCAAGTGCTCGCCTCACAGCCATTCTGAGCCTCAGATGCCTGTGGGAACTCTGAGTCACACACACCACAAAGCCTTCTTCCGAGTAAATCCCTCGTGTCACACGCCTGTCGTCACTGTGATCTAATGATAGAAGAATGAAAAACCCAAAATGTTATAGACTGATTCACCCTACTGCCGTGACAGTTCCCAAATGCTTCCCGCTGAAGAAGGAGCGCTGGGGGAGGACCCTGCCTTACCGCTTGGCAGGTGCCACTGAAAGCCCCCAGCACAGTGGCCCAGGCCAGGGAAGGCTGCCCTGCCCCCATCTTACAGTCACTTACATTAACTACATGGCCAAATGATACTATTTGGGATATACATTGGGTGCTGTCGAAATATATTATGAAAAGTTAATTTTACCCAATTCTCTACTTTGCTACCGTGACTAGCCAGAACCTTTAAACTCACACAGGGGGCTGGTATGGCATTTCCATTGGGCAGCACTCCCCG